AAAAGACGACTTTCTCTCGGAATCCGCGGGGACAAAGGGGCCCCCGCCCGGCCAGGGCCTCCATCTAGTCTGCTGGCGCTAGAGCGGCCGCCCCGGTGGGGCGCTGGCTGGGTGGCCCCGAGTCTGGGGCTCTCCTGGGGGAGGGGAAAGAACGCAGGCGACAGCCCCCGTGAGCTGGGGGTGGTGAGGTCAGCAGGATGTTTGTGTAGACACATGCAACCTTTGTGAAATGCACAAGTGCAATAATCTAACGGGTCTTAACTTTGCATTTATGAATTATAAATACTGTACATGTGTGTAATTTTTCATGTGCCCATCTGCAGTCTTTGTATTTAAAAGGAACCTTTGCCGTTACGTTTGTACAACAGGGCAGCAGTTGCCGACGGCCGCGAGGCTGTAAATAAAGCGGGCGGCGGCCACCGCGGTCACGGCCGCACCGCTGTCCACTCACACTTAGCGCAGCCAGAGAGCTTCTGTTGATATGTAATTATTCATATAAAGTATATATATGTATGATACATGGAATATATTTAGAGATGTTCATAATTTTCATGGCTATCCTTTGGTGAGAATAATTGAATACAGAATTTTTAAAATAGCCTTCGTGTCCATCGTCTGCTCTTTGGTGGGAAGGGGGGAGCCCTGGGGGCAGCGGCTCAGCCCCCCGCCCTTCCCCGTGGCGGACACCCCAGCCTGAAGACACCGAGTCGCCTTGCGGCGACAGGACCTTCGCTTGCGTCATTTCTAGCGACAATGTAAGATGCCACGTTTTGTGCGAAGACCCGTGGACTGCGCCGGGTACCACGGCTGACAGGCCGTCGGAAGCAGGTGTTTGAGGAGGAGGTGCTTCCGCCGCCAGCCTGGGGCCCGGAGTGCGGCCTCAAGGGCCCGAACGGCCTCCCCGGGCCAGGCCCCGGGTCCCAGCAAGGGCCACGGCCTCCCGTCACCAGGCTGAGGGCCCAGGAGCGTGGGCATGAGAAGGGCATGCGTGGGGCATGGCGGTGTGTGTGCGTGGGTCCTCTGGGAGCACCGTCCTGCTAAGACCCAGACCTGGCGCCGACCAGCGCCCTCGGGGGCCCGCGGGACTGTGTGTGGGCACCGTCCTGGCGCCAGCCTCTTGCAGCGAGTGTCCCAGTGCGGC